CATTTTCTCCACATACTTGCCAACACTTACTTGTTGATTTATTGATGGTACCCATTCTGGTAGGTATGAGGTGATATCTCATTGTGATTTTAATTTGCACTTTTTTGATGATTAGTGACATTGAGCATCTTTTCATATGTCTATTGGCCATCTGTATGTCCTCTTTGGAGATATGTCAATTAAGGTCCTTTGCCTAATTTTTATTAGATTATTTGTTGTGGATTTTTTTTTATTTTATTGATTTTTTACAGAGAGGAAGAGAGCGAGATAGAGAGCTAGAAACATCGATGAGAGAGAAACATCGATCAGCTGCCCCCTGCACATCCCCCACTGGGGAAGCGCCCACAACCCAGGTACATGCCCTTGACTGGAATTGAACCCGGGACCCTTCAGTCCGCAGGCCGACGCTCTATCCACTGAGCCAAACCGGTTTCGGCTGTTGTGGATTTTTTAATTAGAACTTGGAAACGTCAAGTTGGAAAAGGTGTAAAGATAGTACAGAATTGGATTTCTTTATAGTTTCCCAGGATCTGTGCTGTCTAATACAAGCACCACTAGCATGTGTGGCCACTTAAATGTAAATTCTTGAAAATTAAATAAAATAAAGAATCCAGTTTCTTAATCACACTAGCCATATTTCCAGTGTTCAGTGGGCACATGGGACTAGCATTCCTTATTGGCTAGTAGGGAACATTCTTGTTATCGAGAAAGCTCTGTTAAACATCATTGCCCACAACTGAGGGTTCTTTTGACCATCCAGACAGACATCTTCCTGTCTTAAACATCTGTCATTTCCTTCAGAATCACCTCCCTAAAATATGCATGCATGCCGTTTCCTTCTGCATAGCTTATTAGGAAGACTATTGGACATTTACATGAGGATGCTAGTATCTGGTATCCATATCTCAGAAATTCTAAAGTCTAACAGACAAGGCACTTAAAGTATAGGTGAGCTTCTCTTCTGAAAGATGGAGGAGCATCTGTGTGTAGTCACTTACCTCAAAGAAGAATACTTAAATAGCCTGGATACTTTATAAGATCCTATAGATCTCACCTAGTCACGAAGTGAAGCAATGGTATTACTGAAAATTGCATTTAGTCATATTTTATCACATTTGTTTCTCAAGGAGGAAAGCCAAGAATCTGTGACTTCAGTGGATCCAGTTTTTCAAGTTCCAGTTTCAAAGGCAGTTCAGCTGACTACAAATGATGCCATAAAAACCACTCTTCTAGTAGAATTGGACATTTCAGTAAGTTGCAGAATTTATTTCTCAGCACAGCTATGTTGTCGAGAAGTGCAGAGAGACTTGTGTGGTGTTCTAGAATGTATACTCAGGAAGAGTGAGTCTGACAGGACACCTGCCTTTTATCCTTAACCCATCATACTTCTTCCCACTCACACCTGTTTTCTCCTCACTCTGGGAGGGCCTAAAGTGAGCAGTGCCTCTGGAGGGGAATCAGATTGGGAATAGTGTTGCTGCCTCACACATTAAGCCAAGAAAGAATCATGGAATCACAACAGTATTTTCCATATGAGAAGAGCCTGAAAGAAAGCTGATTACCTGAGATCAGCCAGCTAGCTGGAAATAGAGTTCAGACTACAGTCATAGAAAAGTTCATTTTTCAGTACTAATTCTCATTCCTTTGAGAATCTGAAGAAAAAAAACAATCACTGACCCTCTTTCCAGAGAAATGATTATATAAATATTTTCTGCAGTTTCAGGAAGCAACATGTACTTTATCTCTGAACTCTATCCACAAGCCCCTCTTCAATGATCCTCCAAACCATTACTCAAGAAACTGATGGATAATCCTGAGACCTCAATACCTGAGTACTTCTTCCAAGTCTTATAACTCAAACCTTTGTTTTGATGAAGGTCCTGGGAAGTGCAGTGGGTTGTGATTTCAGAAAAATTAGGGTGTATCCAGACTTACGTAGATTTAATTGAGTTTTCTAGTAGTAAAAAAGAAATACAACAGGCATCAAATTTTTGCTTATTTATTTGTTTTGAAAGTTCTTAATATTCCATGTTGTTAAATATTCTGTACTCATCAAATAAAACGTTTTGATGTATACAGAATATGGAATAACAACATGGAATATTAAGAATATTCTGCTGTTCTACACTTTTGTCCTCATAAAGAGGCAAAGAGTTGGCCAATTGGTGGGTCCAGTCTGTCTCTCTCGCAGGCTAGGGGTGTGAGCCTGTGTGGTCAGAGGCCCCTTGCAGGACCCTGGCCTGTGTAATAGGCAGTGGGAAGTGGCTCCTCTCCAGCCCATGTGTGTTCACAGCCAGATGATATAACATTGTCAACTAGTGAAGGATAGAATAGTGTTCTCTCCCACTCTATTTCTCCCCAAAGGAAAAGAGTAACGGAAGAAAATTGAAAACTAATACAGACGGCCTGGAATAGTTTCTTTTGTTCATAATGTGTATGTGGGCCTGTGTATATATGTGTGTATGTTTTCATAGGAGAGTTTTTATACATGGATTACTAACTTACTGAGGTCCCTTACTCTTTAGAAAATGAGGAAGTTCTTCATTTTTATTCTGTAAATACTCAATGATATAAAGCAAAATATTGGATAAATGTGGAATTTCATTTTTAAAATAACTCCTGATAAAGTATGTTCCTTCAGTTTATTGGTCTTGTTAGCTTTTTTACAATTAGAATCGTTTTTTTCTACTTTATGTATTAAAATGGTCATTATAATAAAACTATGATTTTGTTGTGCATAACTAAAATCTTTAATTAATTTGAGATTTTTTTGTTGGTTCTTGTCTAGAAAACAGATTTTTCCTACCAGCCTGGGGATGCCTTCAACTTGATCTGTCCCAACAGTGACTCTGAGGTACAAAGCCTACTCCAAAGATTGCAGCTCACAGACCAAAGGGAACACCTTGTCCTCTTGAAAATTAAGGCTGACACCAAGAAGAAAGGTATGTCCCTGATCTCTTTCTTCAGGTGTCCTTGGGCCAACAAATCAGAGGTGGCAAATGCAAGTGCACCTCCTCCCAGGCTCCCATTCAGCACCAGAGGGTCAGCCACATGCCAGGCCCTGGCTGGTGTTACGGGATTCTTGACCTTCAGGTCAGTTACAGAGTGAGATGATGGTGCATTTTATGCTTATTGGACACTTACCGACATTAAAAGGGAATGTAACTGGTCTTAGAAAGCAGGTTGGTTAGTTGGGCTGATTTGTTGGTTTGCTTTTTGCAATAAACATTATTTGGGGACCCTTTCCCCCTCCCCACGTGGCAGTTCGTTCTGTGGGACTCTTCCACCTCCCTACGTGGGAGTCTGTACTTGTTCTTTAATAAATTTCCACCTTTGCTATAAAAATAAATAAATAAACATCATTTTGTTTCTAAGTTCACATATTAAAATGTCATACAAGAGAAACTTTTTTATTATACGAACTTTTTTTAAAAATTGTCTTCCTATTATGTTTATCATGGCATATTATTTAATATAAATAATTGCTTTTATTCATAATTAAAGGAAGTTATTTTTGTTGTTGTTATTTCTTAGTCTTGAACTTGAGCTCAGTTAATTCTATCATTCTACCACGATGTTAACGGACCACTGCCACAGTTAGCTTTCTGTTCCTTGGTTTGGGGTAATTTTCTTTCCTTTTTATTTGGCATACCTAGATTTGGTCGTGATAGCTATTGAATTTGTAATTCTTTTATTTTTTTTGGTATGGTACGTTTTTCTGCTGTATTTTTTGGGGGGAAATTTTTTGACTGAATAAACAATGTCGCAAATCCTACTGTAACACTATAATGTAAGGCATTACTGTTACTTAGGTTTTTAGGAATGCAAAACATTTTATTGTTTATTTTCTGTGTCACGAATGCCTTCCTGTCTCCCTGAAAAGGAGCAGCCTTGCCCCAGCATATACCCGAGAGATGCTCTCTCCAGTTCATTCTTACCTGGTGCCTCGAAATACGAGCAGTCCCTAAAAAGGTACTTTTCTTTCTTCTTTGGGGAACTGTTTACAAATATGCTTAGCTCTGTGGTTTATTAAATAGACCTGGTAACTGCCCTTTGAAAGCTTAGAAAATAGGATCTTCACAGCATGCTTTCAAAATTAATTCCCTAAGGTATGTAGAATCTTTACAGTTGTCATAGGCAAATATTTTTATATTGTGATTACATTTAAATTTTATGTTTTCTATTGAAACAAGATTTGTTATATAGGGGTTTTTGTTAGTCTTTTACTGGACATTAACTTGATGTAGCACATTAGTGATGAAAGTGACCCTAGATGATGATCTTGTGTTATCCAACTTCACATTGACAGCTTGTCTCTCTAAAGAGGGCAAGAAACTTAGGAGAGTGTAGGCTCCCCCTCCCCAACCCCACTTGTCACCTAATTAATGTTGTTAAGCTTCCTTTCATGTAAAACTATGGACATATTTATTGTTAAATCAGAATTCTTCAGGAAGTATTGAAAGGTTTTGGTAGGCTACATTGATATTTAGATGAATTTGGAGATAGAACTATCCACTAGATGTCAGTGTTAGGCCCAGAGCTATATTTTTTAAAAATGTTGTAACAGCCGAAACCGGTTTGGCTCAGTGGATACCATTTCCCTCAAATGATGTTAAGGAGTAAAATTTTACAGCCTGTGCTTTGCCAAACTGGTATGACCAGTAAGCATAAACAGTGCTGTTATTAGGCTAATGGTGCAGTTTTTATTCTGTTTTATTAATGTGTTTATTGCATTTGTCACCTTGGGTTGCGGGCACATCCCCAGTGGGAAATGTGCAGCAGGCAGCTGGTCGATGTTTCTCTCTCATTGATGTTTCTAACTCTCTATCTCTCTCCCTTCCTCTCTGTAAAAAAATCAATAAAAATATTTTTTAAAAAAATGTTGTAACAGGTTTCTTCTAACCATTTCCCTCAAATGATGTTAAGGAGTAAAATTTTACAGCCTGTGCTTTGCCAAACTGGTATGACCAGTAAGCATAAACAGTGCTGTTATTAGGCTAATGGTGCAGTTTTTATTCTGTTTTATTAATGTGTTTATTGCATTTGTCACCTTTGGGAAGCAAGCTACTCTAGAGAAAGGTTCGATCCTTGACATGATATGAGCAAATTTAAGATTCACTGTGCTGAAAGCTTTAGAATTTCATAAAGTATGTAAGCCTTTATATATATTTTTTTTTCTTACTACAAAAGTAATATGCTCATTGTAAACATTCAAGATACAAAAATAGCTAGCTCAAGAAGCAAAAGTCCCTTATAATCAAATCCTCGGAGTTACTGCTTGAATTTTGTTTCGTTAAAAAAAAAAATTAGGTCCTATAGTATACATACCATTCTGTAACGTGCGGTTTTTTATCTAAAAAGAAATCAGGAGTTTGTATACCCAGTAAGGGGTGTGCAGGAGACAGCCAATCAATGATTCTCTCTCATCATTAATGTTTCTATCTCTCTCTCCCTCTCCCTTCCTCTCTGAAACCAATAAAAATATATATTTTTTTAAAAACCCAGGTGAACATTCTTTCACTATATTCATCTTTGCCACCTGTTTGAAATATTTTACACAAATTTTTTGGAGTAGAATTGCTACTTTAAAAATACTTGCATTTTAAATTTTACTAATGTTTGTCAGCTTAGTTTCTACAAACAGTGCAGTATATCCGATTTTAGTGCCAATAAAGTTTTTATAATTCCAAAGTGAAAAATAACTTAAAGGATTTACAATTGCCATTGTTTTACTGTAATTTAGGATTTTCATTGATTTGAGAAATTGATGCAAAGTGTTACAGGTAAATGTCATTACCTTACCGTAGATTCCTCCAGAGTCTTGGATGTTTATTCATTCTACTGCGTTTCCCGAGTGCTTGTTGTGTGATTGGCACTGTGTCTGGCACTTTGAGAAAGCCATGTGATGTGTTAGTCTCTGGATCATTTAGGCAAGTTCATAACTGAGCCCATGGAAACCCGTGACCCCACAAGAGCAGCAATCTAGTCTACCCTGTTGAGGGAGCCCAGGACACACGATGTCTGAACCGTGAAATAAAAAGTAGCAGCATCGCCGAAACCGGTTTGGCTCAGTGGATAGAACGTCGGCCTGCGGACTGAAGGGTCCCAGGTTCGATTCCGGTCAAGGGCATGTACCTTGGTGGCGGGCACATCCCCAGTGGGGGGCGTGCAGTCTCTGGGTCATTTAGGCAAGTTCATAACTGAGCCCGTGGAAACCCGTGACCCCACAAGAGCAGCAATCTAGTCTACCCTGTTGAGGGAGTCCAGGACACACGATGTCTGAACCATGGAATAAAAAGTAGCAGCATCCATTAGCATTTCAGATAGGATTTGATGCAAATAACTTGCTGAAGTGCTTTCATCCTAAATAACCTTGAGTAGTAAGAGCTGTATTGCCATTGAATGGATAAGCTTGTAATTGTGCGTTGGAATCGTAAGTTGTTATTAGCATATTAGGTCCTTTGCCCAAGTGTTTGGACTTTGGCTTCAAGACTTTGTTTTGCTTTATTTGTTCATATTTTCCTCTTTCTACAATGAATCTGAGTGACTAAGTGTACACATACTGCAGGGCGTTGGATGTTCTCACCCTCTGTCTCTTCAGCCTCGTGTCCACATTCCTCTGCACCTAGATTGAACTGCACGTGGTCCCGTGCCTTCATGTAGCCATGCCATCTGTTTAGCATTCTTCACTCCCTTGGTTTCATGTGGCCAGCCTTCAGCTCAGGCTTGCATTCTGTGAAGTCCTAACATCCTGTGGGGGAGGTAGCCTCTTGCACGCTAATTACTCCTTGACTTCTGTTGCTCTCACTAGCTGTGAACCCTTACGGGCTAGGTAGGTGTCACTTTGTCCCAGTGCCTATCACATCAGAAGCACTTAACAGTTGCCAAATAAATGTAGAAGTCTAGGTTGTCATCATCAGCTAAGACAAGAACAGTGTTGCGTACTGAGACAAAATGTTGAGTTATGAGACTTCTTGGTCATTTTTACTCAGATACACCTGACATGTAATTTGAGATCATACTTTTGACTGAGGAGGTCGCTTTAGGACATAAGAAAGGTAAACAAAAATAGAACATAAACGTGGGTTTTCTTAACAGGCTGACAAAGCAAATAAGCAAAGTAAATTTTCTTTTTCTGACCACACTTGTAGTGGCTCTCTCACTTTTCCTTGGATAATTGGGCACATTCCCAGGTAGATGCTAACAGACAGTCTAATAGCCATAACCCCAGAGCACGTGGAAATTTAAGTCTGCTTCCTTTGCTTGGGTCACAGGCATTTCTGCGAGCCCTTGTGGACTGGACCAGTGATGGTGCGGAAAAGCGAAGGCTGCAGGAGCTGTGCAGCCGACAGGGAGCGGCCGATTATAACCGTTTTGTGAGGGATGCCTGTGCCAGCTTGTTAGACCTCCTGCTCGCCTTCCCGTCCTGCCAGCCTCCGCTCAGCCTCCTACTCGGTGAGTGGTCACGGTCATGGCCCTGAGCTCCAGGGCAGCTCTTGGTGCTAAAGAACAATGGCTGCTGGCATGTGGCTCTTTGAATTCTATGCGGGACACACCTGAATGATCTGTGAGCAGGAGGTAAACATCTTACAGTTTGTCTTCCAGGCGCCGTGACATCAGAACTGCCTTCTAGAAGTCAGAAAGAATCCCTCTCCCAAGCTTTTTTCTTTCCTTTTTTCTTCTGCTGTTGTCACCATCATTTTCTCTCTTAATATAGCCACTCTTTTTTATTATTGTTGTCAGTATTATAGACATCCCCCAAATCGTTTTTGGTCAGCATTTGGTGTATTTTAATTTTACTGTTTTTCAGAAAGCATTTTTCTAAATTTTATCTAAAAACGAGCTTTCTAAGAAAAAAATGATTTAAAAAAATAATGAACATTATATTTAATTGATGGCGATTGATGAAGTGTGCAGGAAGTGCTTTGTGTGCAGGAAGCAGAAGGAAACATTTTGTGTGCAAGTCCAGATTTAGGGTTCTTGAAGAGCAAAGGGCAGACTCATCATGTCCTCCCAGTACAAGGGGCATTATTTAGGGTGTTTCTAGGTGTTAAGCTGGGGGAACCTGTCACAGAATATTCACATGTAAGTTGGTCCTGTTTTTTGTTCATACCGTCTATTGGGGTTCTCAAACTCCACAGAAGATTTTCTCTGAGGACCTGGTCCAGGGGAGGAAGGGACTTTCAGTGGAGTCTCAGTGACTCTTACTTCCCTACGCTTACAATTTTGTCATCTGCTCTCTGTACCTGTAGTGATACGTATAAAATCCCCAAAATTTGCATTTATCTTTGGTGGCAGGAAACGTGTATTGTACTTTTTACTATTGGGCCAGCAAGGTGCCTTTTGATGCCAGTACATTTAAGGACCCTCTCCTGTACAAGTCAGCCCTGCTTTCTTGTTCCTTACATTTCTTAGTATTTTGATCTCTTTCCTCCTCCTCAAAAGTGTTACCAAATGAGGCTGCTCTTCCCTACTTCCTTGTGTTCACACAAATACTCCCACCTTTTTATTTGCGTTTTTTAGGCTAATAGAGGGCTTGGGGTAACATTCAGAACACGTGCAGGGAAGTCGTATGAAGTCTTGGGGAACTCTCAATCATAGTAAAGTGTGTTTCTTTTTATGGATTTCCAACTACCTTTTAAAACTTTTATATATCATTTATTACACCTTATTTTTTTAATATATTTTATTGATTTTTTTACAGAGAGGAAGGGAGAGGGATAGAGAGTTAGAAACATTGATCAGCTGCCTCCTGCACACTCCCTAGTGCCCACAACCAAGGTACATGCCCTTGACCGGAATCGAACCTGAGACCCTTGAGTCCACAGGCTGACGCTCTATCCATTGAGCCAAACCAGTTAGGGCTACAGCCTATTAATAAAAGCCTAATATGCTAACTGTCCCGTCAGCCTTTCAACCAATCAAAGTGGAATATGTTAATGATATGCTAAGGCCACTCAACCGCTCGCTATGACATGCACTGACCACCAAGGGGAAAACAGTTGACCGGTCGACCAGTCGCTATGATGTGCACTAACCACCAGGGGGCAGATGCTTTGACCAGTAGGTTAGCTTGTTGCTGGGGTCCAGCTGATCGGAACTGAGCGAGATGGGCCAGACACACCCTGGAGCCTTCCGGCGGTCTCTCCCCAGCTGTCCACCTCCCATATCCCTCCGCAGCCCTGATCATGCACCGGTGGGGTCCCTCGGCCTGGCCTGTGCCCTCTTGCAATCCGGAAGCTCTCGGGGGATGGCAGAGAGCCAGTTTCGGCCCAACCCCAGAATGACCGGTTGCTATGATGCACACTGACCACAAGGGGTCAGACGCTCAACGCAGGAGCTGCCCCCTGGTGATCAGTGTGCTCCCACAGGGGAAGTGCTGCTCAGCCAGAAGCTGGGCTCATGGCTGGTGAGTGCAGCTGTGGTGGCGGGAGCCTCTCCTACCTTCTCAGTAGCACTAAGGATGTCCAACTGACTGCTTAGGCCTGCTCCTCGCAGGAGAAGGCACAGGTTGGACTGAGGGACACCAACCCTCCACCCTCCTACCCCCCAGTGCACAGATTTTGTGCACCGCGTCTCTGGTAGTTATATAAAAAATTTGAGCCCTGTATGAAACCTTTTTATATTTCTTAAAACTAAGCCATTTTAGAAAGGTCTTTCCAAATTTTTGCTAAGTAACTATAACAAATATGACATTGAAAATTTTTACTATTACCAATATGACTTTGAAAGTTATTACAAAGATAAAATTGAAAAATTCCAAAGCTTGTTAGCACATGATTAGATATTCAAATACTGATTTCTTAACCTTCTTTAAGAGTGCCTATGTATCTTGAAACCACTATGTTTCTGGATAACCTGATTTAAAGTGCCTATCCCACCCTCCCCTTTGTTGTTGTTTTTTTACTATCATGTAAATATAAGAAGGAAAAATATTTTAAGCCTCAGTAGTTCCCATAATTTGTAAAATAGTGGTCTTTAATCTTTCTGGGGTCATGATCTTACTTCAAATCTGAAAACTCTGAACACTCCCCTCAGAAAGCTGCCACATACACTCAGAAAATTTAATGGGTTCCTTGACCCTTACCTGCACTCATGGACCCTATTCTGTAACATCCTTTAGTTTTAGAAATCAGCCCTTAGATAGAAATACTGATTTCAGATTGAGAAAATACAGTAAGTCTGGTTTACCTTAGGAATTGGAGAAAAGTACTCAATAGTATTTTACTGTTTCTTTTTTTTCCTTTCAATAGTATTTTACATTGTGCATTTACATGTGCTTAAAATATTATTTAAAACTAAAACTTTTTTTAATATATTTTTATTGATTTCAGAGAGGAAGGGAGAGAGAGAGAGAGACAGAAACATCAATGATGAGAGAGAATCACTGACCGGCTGCCTTCCACAGTCCTCCACTGGGGATCAAGCCCACAACTCGGACATGTGCCCTTGACCGGAATTGAACCTGGGACCCTTCAGTCCTCAGGCTGATGCTCTATCCACTGAACCAAATTGGCTAGGGCTAAAACAAATTATTTTTAATATTCTAAATAAAATAAAAATCAAATGAGAACTTGAATTTTTTTATCCCTTATGTAGCATTTATTTTCAGTAGCTGTGAATTAATGATTGCTTTTTTTTTTTTTTCTAGAACACCTTCCTAAGCTCCAACCCAGACCATATTCGTGTGCAAGGTACTGATATTTATTAACATGATATATAGTATCTTCCTCCCAAAATGTTATGGAAGTCCAACTTCCAAATCCTTTGCATTTATTCAGTGAAATCTTACCCGATTGTGGTGACAATAGCAGGCATAACGAGGAGTGAAGCTGACCAGTGTCAAGTCTCCCGTCCTCCCCGAGGTCACAGAGTAGGGGCTCTTCAGTGGGGCCATGCTCCCACTTCTCTAGGTCCTCCTCCTGCCACCGTTGTTGTGTGCCCAGCGGCCTTCATGGGGCAGTGGATAAGGGTGGGGAGGAGCGGGAAAAGTGTATGAATCTTATCTAGTCTTGAAGGCAAACAGGTTATTAGAAACTTCCCAGAATGTTATCACAAAATGTGGGGGTGGGGGAGGCTTTTAAGTAACAACAGAATTCTTCTCTCTGAGGAGTCAAAAGGTACATTCGCGCTCAAGGGAATACAGGGAGGAGCAAAAGTAGGTTTACAGTTCATACGGAAATAATACAATAACTTATCAGTAATAACACAAAAATAATTCTGTTTCTTGTGCTCACTACTAAACCTACTTTGCCCCTCCCTGTGTTCTCACTGCAATAAAAAAAGCTTAGGCTCTAACCGGTTTGGCTCAGTGGATAGAGTGTCGGCCTGCGGACTGAAGGGTCCCAGGTTCGATTCCGGTCAAGGGCGTGTACCTTGGTTGCGGGCACATCCCCAGTGGGAGATGTGCAGGATGCAGCTAATCGATGTTTCTCTCTCATCGATGTTTCTAACTCTCTATCCCTCTCCCTTCCTCTCTGTAAAAAATCAATAAAATATATATTTTTAAAAAAACAACTTAGTTTGGCCTGAATGTTTTAGTCTTAACAGTGTTTAAAAATGTGTGTGTCTTTGCAGCTCAAGTCTGTCTCACCCAGGGAAGCTTCACTTTGTTTTCAACATCGTGGAGTTTCTGTCCAGCACCACACCCGTGGTTCTGCGGCGAGGCGTGTGCACAGGCTGGCTGGCCACGTTGGTTGAATCAGTTCTTCAGCCGAACAGGCATGCATCCCATGCAGACGGCGGAAAAGCCATCGCTCCACAGGTGCTAGGAGTGTGCAGTGTTGGCATCATTGAAATGATGTTTTTTGCCTGGTTAGAAAGAACATGTCGTCTCCCTGCATTATCCATTAGATTATGCCATACTTGAATTTTTAAATCCCTAGTGGAAAACATTGCTTTCACTCCCTGTTAATTGGTCCATGCATTTCATAAATGTGTAAGCATGAATTTTATATGATAGAGTCTTTCTCTTTGCTTGTCATATTCATAGAAGACTTCTGTGAATATTCTTGGTAGATTGGCACAGGATGAGTCAGGTGAATATTAAAAACAGCCTTATTTTATGTTTAGGCTGTATCCTGTGTCCCAAATAATTCCTTTTAGGAATAGTAATTCCTAAAATAAATCCTCAATTGACAGAGACTGATTTTATGTCCTTCAGTCTGGATGGTAGGAGTTTCACTTGCCCCTGCCCCTACCTTTTTGTCAGCCGTGCTGTGTAGATTCGGAATTAGTGCTGTTAGTGAGGAAACTGTGGAGGATCACTTTTAAAACCCATAGAGGAAAATTTTATTGGATTTATTAGAAACAAACTGGACATATTTCTATCTAGATGTAGTGACATCTTTTATATTTTGATATAGCACTCAGCAGAATCTCATTCAAGACCACATGCATAGGCAGCAATTTAAAGTTGTCCCTCCAAGCCCATAAGGAAGACTGAAATTTAAAAAACAAAACAAAAAAACTTCAGGCTTTATTGTGAAGTCTTCTTTCTCCATGGCATTGAAGAAATGGCTGTGTCATTTGTAGCATTATCTTATGACTGGTGGTTACTACGTTATTGGAGTTGAAAAGGTCACAGTCCTTAGGGAATTAAGACCTCTGTATATACTTGATAGTACCTACAAGAAGCCTGCTGGTTGAAATTTCCCTTTAACTTAGTATTTTCTCAGTCTGCTGCCTGAAACAGAGATGCTTTACTCGTGTGTGTCTCTATCTGTCTGTCTCCATCTGTTCCTCTCCTCCCCCCTCCAAACTCCTATATTTATTATGTCACAACAAACGCCTGAAACAGAGGTGCTTTACTCGCGTGTGTCTGTCTGTCTGTCTGTCTGTCTCCATCTGTTCCTCTCCTCCCCACTCCAAACTCCTATATTTATTATGTCACAACAA